GGGGGGGGGGGGGGGGGCTTGGAAACGGCGTTAACTTAAGGTGCCCCTCCGCACCTATAAAGCTCGAGATACACAGTAGGAGTCTGTGTCCCCACAACAATGTATTTAATTAACGTAACGGGTGTCAGGGGAGCACGGGGGAGCTTCACCGTAGCGCGATTGCACCCACAAACCACCCCCGATCCATGCCAGCCCATGTGGCCCCGCTAAACTCCTCCTCCTCCTTCTCTTCCTGCTCTTCGTCCTCCCTCCTCTAGTCACCCCCGTTGCCGCCGCCACCGCCGCTTTTCCGTATCCAACCCCAATCCGCAGGCTTGTTCAATGGCCGCCAAGTCGAGAGCTTAAATTAAAGATATAAGCGTCTCGGTGAGCGAGCGCGGGCGCGAAGCGGTAAACGAATTAAAAAGTAAACGGCCGGCCGTAAAAGTTAATGGCTGTTCGGATGAAAATTAAAATACTCGAGGAATTAAGATAACGGAGAGGCAGGCGAATGGACAATCTGCAGGGATTGACTGCAGGCAAGCGTCGGACGTAAAAAAGCAGTTCGGCCCGGCAACGAAAGTCCAATTTGTATTTCATGCTCGGTCTTCATGAAGAAAGAGAGAGAGAGAGAGAGAGCATAAAAGAAAGAGATAAAGGGTAGAAGAAGACAGGAGACGAGAGAAAAAGATTAGGCGGCGCTAAATTTAGTCGCTTGATAAACAAAAGATTACTCGATTGTTTTATCCAAACTAAATGGATAAATCATAATTGCATATTTAAAAAAATCTTTTCCGATTTAATAAGTTTTCCTACATTTTTTGAAACATAGCGTTTTTCTTTTCGAGGTATGACATTATAGAGATATCATCGATAAGTAGATATCTCAATTATTATTGGAAAAAGAAAATGTGTTTTTGAGATACCATGTTAATAATGCATCCATTTATGATATTATTGATAAAGTTTTGTATTCTTCGAAATGTATAAATATTTCAAAGGGAAGAAATAGATGCTCGGATGTGGATCGGTTACACGCAATCGCGATAAACAAACTTCTTCCGTCCACGGCGATTCGTAATTTCTGAGATATCGTTCAATGGATCGGAGAAACTGAGGACAATCAAAATTGATGCTAAGTTTACCGAACTCTCCCTCGGGATCGCGTGCGCGCGTGAACCGACCTAGTTTCCCTCTATTAGTATCGACCCTGGTTTACTTTGCTCTAAACAAACTTTAAAGACGATAAAGCATTTTTATAGTTACACTCTTCCTAAATTCAAATGCGACATCTCACTTTTCCAGAAACGCGAATGCTGTAAATAAAGAATACTATTATGTTATTTTTTTTTTTTAACTACATGAATTGCTCGATGAAATATACATTTCATCAAGATTACTCGATATTTATAAAAGAATTGAAAAATTTATAGCCAGCTTATATTTTGTTTTATTTCTATCAAAATACATCTAATATTTTATAAAACATTTTATTTTTATCAGAAACATATATTTTAATAAAATAGCAATTGCTGCATAATGTTGAGAATACTCTAACATTTCTATTTTCTTTATTTATTTTATCGTTTAAAAATTTACATTAGCCGCGTTGCATAACATAGGTATAAAGGTTTCTGGGCTATTTAGCGTCGAAAAAATAAAAGTCGGCGATTCGCCCTTTCTCGACGAAACGATAAAAAACCGATTTGGGGATGCAACCGCAAAGCCTTTCCGATCGTTATTCTTTAAATTGTCACGACTGATACAGTGCGAAAATGTAAATGCAAAGGAAGTCTTGGTCGGGATTCATCCATCTTATTTTTGAACGCATTAGTCACGCGCACATTGCGAAACGGGGGCGGGGGAAAAACCGGTGGTCGTCGTTTTCCCCTTTCTTCCGCCCTCCCTCTTGTTCCCTCGTCGACGACGCTGCGCGTCGTCTCACAACTGTTCGATTTATTAAATCAGGATTATCTAAGCCCATTACATTGTCCCGCGAGCTAGATACAAAACCGCATTTGTAACTCGCGTAAAGCTCTTAGGGCGGGCCCGCAGAGAGCGGCACTGATTTCCGCGGTCATCCACCTACCCTCCACCTCATCTCTCCATGTCTCCTCTCCCCCGTCTATAACAGATAATACCGATAGCATCTGATCTCGCCGTTGATATCGCCGCCGGGACAATTTATTATGCGAAAGATTACGGCCGTGTGACTCACTTTTCGCCCTCGTGGAGCGACAAAATTCGCGCGGCCAAGTTCTCGTTCGAGTCGAAATTCTATGATGAAGTCACCACGAAACTAGATAGTTTAGATAAGTGGTAAATTAACTGTGTAATTAACGCATGGACAATGTACCGTGTATAATTTTGATCCAATTCTCTAAGCAATTTTACCATTTTTATAATCTATTTTATTTTTATTATTTATTTTAATTGCATAGTGTGAAATAATTCAAACAATTTTTTTAAATATTTTTTTGGCGATGTAAAGAAAGAGACGTTTTTTGGATATTTTTGATGTTATAACAACCTCATTAGAATTATTTTATTAGAGACAGTTTATATTTTATATCGATATTTTCTCTAGCAATTAAAAATGTTTTTCTTTAAGTATAATTATCACATTAGTAAAAATTTTCTTTAGATGTTTAGTTTTAACATAACTCTCATACGTCGATTTCGAAATTAGCTTCATAATGAAAATAGAAAAATAATAAAGATAAGCGATAAGTAAAGACGGGAGAATAAAGTGTAGCAGAAAAAAACAGAACGTCTAAAACAGACGCTCCAAGAAATCAGATCGGAAAAGAAGCAAAAATTGTAAGATAATGCAAAACGTAGATGTAGGTGAAAATTGGGGAAAACATAGAGAGAAAGAGGAACTTTGAAATGAGCGACAGATTGGGGCATTCTATGGAAAGGGAAACGAAAGAGGAGTGAGTTAGAAGCGAGAGGGAGATAAAAAGAGAGAGATAGAGATGGAAGAACTGTGTAAGCGTAGGAACGGATTTCGATGTAAATGCGTGGAAAGGAAAGAAAACTGTGGATCACAGTTGCAAATTGTTCCTTCTCTCTTGCTCCACATTCGTGTATATTCATTGCGAGATGTCATCAGCGTCATTCTGATAGTCCTAATCAGTTTTTATTTCTGCTTTCGACGGGAAGAAAAGATTACATTAGATATGTGTCTTTCGTCGTTACTTATGGAATACGAATTGTATTAAGCAAATAAGACTCTAAACGAAAAAGTAATAAGTAATCATTTAACAAATTTAATTTTATTTGTATTTAGAAGTATCAGATTATATATGAAACAAGTTGTTGTTAATATTATATATATAAAATGTTTTGGGACCGAATTGTCAATAACATGGTATTCGGCCTTGGTGAGAGGTGGGATATACAATAGCGCGCTAATGTTTACGTGTCTCGGCACTGTTATCATACGTGCGGCGTCACTCGAGCAGAAAGGTAATACATGCGAGACGCTCTGTCAAATTGCTATTGTCAACGCGATCGCGGAAAGTATCGAGAAATAATTTGCAATGAATTATTATTAAATTACATATCAAAGTGTTATTAAAGTTAATGAATTATAATTGAGTAGATTATCAGAAACAAAACGACGTTAATAAATGAAAATTTGATGATTTTTTGTGGGAAGTGAATCGCGCTTAAATGGAGCACTTTCGCGTTCTCGAGGATTCTCGCTGATTGCCAAAAAGTCAATTAAACGGAAGCGTTGCCAGAAATACGGGAAAACTTCCGATCGATTGAATTACGGTATTAAAAGAACGACGAGTGCGCTCGCGGAAGGAACAAGAGAAATGCATCTTAGCAGGTAAAATTCAAGAGAGCAAAAGGAAAAGAGAATGATATATTTTCTGTTTTCTACATTTAAAATAAAAATATGCATTATTAATGGCTTGGCATGCTTATCTAATAGCTATTACTATTACTCGTTCCACGTACAAAGCACTTAATAATACAAATATAAATGCATTAATCTTTTTAACTTTTATTTAATTCTTTCAATAATTATATTATATCTCACATAATTGTGCTGATTATTAAATTTAAAATGGTCAGTTTGAAAATATTTTATGTTAATTATAATTTTTATGTGAAATTTCTTCAACTTATAAACTCGAGAAAACCATAAATCCTTTATTTTATACGATTAATGTGCGATCGATCATGTCATCCAGAGATATGCAAGATCAACCAACATCACTGCCGTCGTCGTGTCGACGAGGGAACGTTACTCCCGTATCTTTTTCTAAAATTCATATTCGCGTCCGGCGCGTAAAAAATGTGCATCGGAGCTTAAAAATTTATCGACGGCTCTTTTGAATAATAAG